GGGTGGGGGCGGCGGGCGGCTGCTGGGTCTCGGCCTCGCTGCTCATGGTTGCGGTGATGGTGACTGGGGCCGCTGTGGCAGCTGCGGCTCCTCCCGGGGTGGGATGGTAACTAGGCCGGCGGCGGCGGTGGGGCTGCTCAGGGCTCTCAGGGGTCCGCTCTCGGCTCCCACTACCGATCGAACTCGGAAAATATTACTATTAACTGACACCAAGTCATCCCTGACTCATGATGACTCTCTATGTTACTGAGTGGAATTGTTCTAAAGGGTTTTCTTGAAATCTTGGGTGGTGCAAACAGTTAAGCTCTCAACTAGTAGCTACAAGGTGGGAGGTTCAAAATCACTTGGAGCAATCTCAAAGAATTAGTTTACTTCCAAAAGTGACAGAATGTATCTGCTTCTGAAAGGCGACAATTTATTCTGTAAAATTCAGGCTCCTTATAATGAAAGTATTTGAGGGTTCTTAAAAAGTCTTTAAAAAAAGAATGATTTTACCTACAACAGGGAGAGAATAAAACAGATGAACGGGACCTTCTAATAAATCCCTATGCACATCAAAAAACTTCTCTGTCAAGGTAAAAAGAAAACTCAGGACTGAGAAAAAAATATTTAACAATCACATATCTGATAAGAGGTTTCTATCAAAAATGTATAGAATACTCCAGCACCTCATGAAAAAGGTAAATAATCCAATCACAAACTGAGCACAGGATATGAACAGACACTTCACCAAAGAAGATATTCAGATGGCAAACAGAAACATGAAGAAATAATCAAAATTCCTAACTATCAAAGAAATGCAAATTAAAACAACTGAGAGACAGTATCTCACCCCAGTGACAACAGCAAAGCTCAACAGGGCAGCAAACAACAAATTCTGGTGAAACTGTGGAGAGATTGGAATTCTTATTCATTGCTGATGGGAAGGTAAAATGATACAACCATTATGGAAGACAGTATGGCACTTTCTCAAAAAGTTGTAAATAGAAATAACATTTGACCCAGCAATTCTATAACTGGTAATATGCCCTAAAGAAACCAGATGTACACACCACATTTATTACAATGTTATTCACAATAGCAAAGAGTTGGAAGCAACCCAAGTGCCTTTCAACAAATGAAGAGAAAAACTATGGTACATTCAAACAATGGCATTTTATACAGCATGGAAAAACAGTGAACTCATAAAACATTACACAACATAGTTGAGCCTGGAGGACATTGTGTGTTGAGTGAAATATCTCAGTCACAAAAGGATAAGTACTACATTAACATCTTTGTTATAAAATGGGAGGGGGAGAAAATGTGCAATAAAGAATAAAAAAGAAAAATTTGCTTTGCCAAGTTATTACTGTTGAGTCAGAACTGACTCATAGCTAATCCTCCATCAGATTTTTAAAAGGTTGTAAATCACTGGAGCATAGAGAAGCCAAA